ACTCGATGACCAATTAGTGCTTACTGAACCGTAGCACTATGCAAATGTCATGTGGCGTGATTCCCGGCCGACCAATTAGCCATTACCAGCCGTAACGTTATGCAAATCTGTGATTCCCAAGCCATAGTCTCCTGCAAATCATGCCGTGTGGCCTAATTGTCTGCTGACCAATCAGTGGCTGTACTTTCAAAAAGCCAATGGCCACTTTCAACCATCTGTTGATGACCGTTATGACTAAAAAAAACTTCGCTAGGTCTTACTTTCGGGGGGAGGTCTTATATTTCGCAATTCAGCAAAATCTGTGCTAGGTCTTATTTTCTGCGGATGTCTTATTTTTGGGGAAACACGGTAAACAAAATAGGAGTTTTTTTTTTTTACAAAAAAAAAAGTGAAGTGATACTACTGTGATCAAAAAGTATCAGGAATGGTTATTTAAACTGCACGAGTGCAAAACAACACTGTCATTTTTTTCATTGTTTGGTACAGCTCAACAATCAAGTGAATGTGAATAGCACTTGAAAAGTGAAGTAAGACTGAAAAGACCACATCAAAGTCAAAAATCAAGGCTGTGTTTCTGTTATTAGTGTGGAAGCTAAACTGGACATTATAAAACTAAATGTATTAGCTGGAAAAAAAACCATGTTTGAAACACCTGCTACTAGGCAGTTGCAAGTGGATAAATGAGTCTAATGTATTTTATTAAGTATACTGAAGGTTCAAACACTAACAATAAGTAGTTACTCTATGTACAAAGGTACTTTCTAGGTTTGTTTTTGACTTACAACAAAACCTCGATAACCTAACTTCTTTGTAAATAGGGAAGCATCTGTAATCTTAAGCATCAAATAATATATTTTAAGTTATGCTTATCACAATACATATTTTCCACTGTGTTCAATGATGAAAAATAATGTGTCATTTTCAATAAGTGCCTGGATTTCAATCATTACACTTGGCATTAAGTGATCCCTATGAAGTTTTGTTGATGTGAAAAGGCCAATGTGACACAAAATATATTAGAATAGTTCTCTATTACTGCAATGATGTATAAACATATATGAAAGAGCAACAAATAAATATCCCCAAAATTTGTTTGAAAATTTCAGTAATTTGTATCAAGCTAATATATAACAAATTTAAACTATGATAAGCAATAACTATAAAATAATAATGAGACAAATTAGTTTCACCTTCCTACATCTTGAGTTTATTTTGTAAGTCCTACAAATCATAAATAATATTCTTTATTGATGAAGAGATCCTGTTTATGTAACATTTCAAAGCAATTGTTTGCTGATGTAAAATGCAGTTTTGCAGGAAAGTACAAAATATTGCATTTGAGAGAGAATTGAAGGTGTCAAGCAGTTTTCTTAGTAGAGGTTAGGGTAATTAAGGATGAATGTCAACAGTCTTACAAGGGGATGTTGTGATGTTGGGGTCACTGATTTTGATTAATTAAACTTAGTGAGGATATTTGAAATAGTAAATTAAATATTTTTGTAAATAGTCTTAACTTCTAATTTGAAGAATTCTAATTTGGAGAAAATTAAAGTTGAAGTTGCACAATCGCTCAAAACCTTTATAGAGTTCCTATTATTTATAGTGGCCAGTGGCCAGTGGGGTATCAGTTTCATTCGTGTCAAATGTCATTGTTATCAATATGGTTTTTTTTTAATATATATATATAAAACTATAATTTTCACTGTATTCTTGTTATTTTTTTAAATTTAGTATATTTAAAAATTATTTTTGAATATTCATGTACATATGGAATTTGTACATAATATTTATTTGGGAAGACAATAAGATATAAACAAAATTATTGTTATTCAAACCCAATTTTGTTAAGAAAAAGACATTTTTATTAACATTATTCAATCTGTTTGCAGTTTTTGTGGATGATAATTAACATAGAAGCATTTGAAACAATATATATTTCTGCAGTGTGAACATTGAATAAATGCATCATTTTTACAATAAGACTTACATACTATATGTCACTGAAAAACAAACTTGATCAATGTTTAAATACAATTATCTGTCATCAACTAATTTGGAGGAGAATCATGTGTACCACATCACATTTGAAAATTATATACCATTTTTATCAATTTTAATTTAATTTTTTTTCCTTTTCTAAAAATGGGATCAAACTTGGAAAGATAAACCTTTATTTATATTATATTATTTATGCATTTTGTGTTTTCATTACTATAATTTTTAAACTTACCTATATAATTTATTCCATGATTTTGCTGGGATTTTAAAATTTCCATCAAACTCCACAACTTCATCTTCAGTAATTTCTTCTCCCATATTTAATTTTTCATATTTTTCCTTTGCACATTGCTTTCTATAGTCACTATAAATATGTAACACATTAATTTTAATATAAATAACATTAACATTTATTAACTCTATCCGAAAGAAGGTTTATTTTTTATAGTGTTATAAAAAAAATCCTAATTGTAAGTCAATGAAAATAAATAATCATCACAAATTCAAATTAAACAATTAAATATATTATAAATTTTTGTAAACAAACTATTACTTACTTGATTCTTTTAACATATAATCTAGTACTACCATCATCTTTAATTTTATTTTTCTTATTATTGCCTGAGTTGATTTTTCTTACTTTGGATTTTACATCTTTTTCAGTTTTTATCTTTCTTTTTCTGCTTGCTGTTAAAAAAATTACCATTATATAAAAATTAATAAATAAACTTAAACGCAAAATATTCTAAGATTACATACCCATCTTTTCATTATTATAATCACTTTCAATTTCTTCATTAGAATCTGGCAAATATTCACTGTCACTGTTAAATGAGAGATCGATATTTTCAATAGGCGTTATTTTATTACTTGTATCATTTTTTTCTAATGCATCTACATTATCATTTTCATGGTAATCTGTATTTTCAGTTATTGATGTATTATGTATCTTTGATGATTTCTTAGTCAGAAGTGAATATAATTTTGGACTCTTATTTATATTTTGTTTAGATGAAGAATCTGACATTTTTGTCTTCATAATTTTGTTATTAAATTTATCAGAATTATTCATTTTCACATTTTGAATATTTTCTTCCTTAGCTAATAGGAATTTTTCAAATTCTGTTGGTTCATCTGGAATGAAAATTGATATGCTCTTTCTATTCTGGCCTGATGGTGCAACAGTACCAAATGGGGTCATCTGTCCTGTTTTAATTAACTGATCATTTGTATTGTTATTTTGTGCAAATAGATCCTTTAGTCTCAGCAAATCTTCAGCATCTTCATTACAATTTTCTAAAAAAAAATTTTATTATAGTAAAACTAAATACATATGGTATGTTTTGTAGTTATTCAACTAAATGCATTTTACCTAACCCTTCTAACTCATTAATCATGGAATCAATTTCAACTGAATCATCATTCAAATATGAATTTAATGCTTTGCGTTTGGCTTCTAACTTCTTCAATTGTTTTATCTGTAAACAAAACTATTATTAATGTTATTGATTTATATAAAAGCAATATTATACAAAAACTTTTCATATATACACAGAGTCTTCCAAAATAAATTCTACCATTTTACATTACTCTATTGGTGTAAATCATATACTTCTCAGATAATAATTAACATATATACAGTAAATATCCAAGTTTCATTTCCCATCTTCATTCAAACATCTTATTGTCTACTACCTCTGTGAAGTGCTGTAAATGAAAATAATGAGTGCACAACAGAGAAGGTGTTTTTTGTTCTGCAATTCACAAAGTTAGATATTGTCATTGTACAACATGAGTACATTGTGCAGGAGCTGTAGAATTGTGGCTGCTATGGGAGGAGTGACAGCGAATATGCTGTAGCAAGTATAGAAAAAATTTGCATTGATTGGATGTGTGCCATGTGACATGAGGTGCACACATTGAGAAAAATATGCACCTTGTGAAATGTGGCAAATATGAAACTTGGACAATTTTACAATGTTTTAACGTACATTACAAATTTCTTGGATAATAATTAACATAATTTGAAATGGTAGCTTCTTTTTGGAAACTCTGTACATTTGTATGTGTATGTATTGTATGTATGTATGCATATATTAATAAATTACTATTAGTAAGCATTATATATTTTAAAAAAATAATAACTATTCCTACCACTTTAACATCTATTTATAAATAACTACTTGGATTGGATTCAATTAATTCTATTATCATCTAATATAAAATTACAGCCTTTGTTAATTTTTATCTACAATCAAATTAAATTCATAATTAGAACATACTAAACTGTCACATAAAATAAACATCATAACAATCTTTTAATTTTGAATATTGTTCTTCATTTCATCATTTTATACATTTTATTATGTTATATTGTATTCTCAGATGCCTGATGATATTAAAATGATTGAAAACATTTGCATTAATTAAACTTAGCAGTTAATTTCCTCGCAGCTAAAATGTTATTGACATGTTCATTTTGTGGTAAATTTATAATTTTTTCATATTTTTATGTACAGTCCTTCCCAAAATAAAATACTTGACTCTGTATGAGAACAAAATCTGAATGCTATACATTCCTAAAAATATTTAAATTAAAAAATTAAAACAATTAAATCTTTCTAACTAAATATAAAAAATTTAACATACTTTATTTTCTTTTTCTCTTTTTACTGATTCACTTGTTCGTTTTACTTCTTTACTCATCCCAGTATCTAGAGGAACCATTGCTAAAGCCTTTTCAATGTGGTCAAGTCTGTGCTGTACCATTCTAAAATAATAAAATTTATAAATCTTAATTACAAATAAAATTCATTTGCATATTTTAAATTTCATCTTTAAAAACATTTAGCAATTAAAAATAAGTTAATATACAATATATATGAATATAATTTATTTAAATTAAAATTATATTTTATAAACAAGATTACAAAATTCTGTAATATAAGTATAATTATAAACAATTTATAGTCCTATAAACTGTGATAATTTATTTATATTTCCAGTGGTATTCTGATGATGATAAACAATTGTTTACTTAATTTATATAACACTTTTAACTTAAAATAGATATAATAATATTTTTTGCCAAGTAATGTCCAAATCTATCTGTCTAAGTTATAATTAAAGAATGATAAAAACAATAAAAAATAAAATAGAAATTACGGTGTAACATTTGCATCTAAATTATGATCATATTTTATTTAATTTCAAAAATTTGTCAGTGCTATAAATGTATAAAACCAGAAAACCTCACTTAATATAACTTTAATATGCACAATAATCACTTAACACAACTGGATAAAATAATACTATTTCCCACTTTAAACAGGTAAGTAATTGGTTAACAATACTTTTTTTATGATAAATTTTTTTAGCCAAAATTTTTTTCTTCCAATCTCAAGAAAACAAAAACTTGGGGAGAGTTTAATTAATAACTCTGCAGCAAATGTCCCGGAAAATCTCGCGAACGAATGCCCCGGATCCGACAGAACCGGGCGAGTAAACTCGCGCTTATTTTTCTACAATGTTTTTTAGGTTACCAAAAAGTATCAATTATACTTACAGAAGGTGTTTTAATACACGTAAAAGCCTATTTTTTCAATAATCTCAACTTTTTTCTAAACTATATCAAAAAAGTCATTGTATTGTAATACAGAAGTATGTTCACTGCAAGCAAAATTTAAGTGATTCAAAAAGAAATCAAAAGCACATACAATAAAAACGTAATTGTCCACTAGACACACGGCATTAAAACCTACAAATTACATAAACAAACAACTGAAAAAAAAAAAATGAACACGTATACAAAGCACAAAACAAGACTTTCGCGAACGAACGGCCCGGGTCCATCAGACCCAAACCGTCCGCCAGCCACGGCAGAGTAAAATTATTCAATTTGAATTTTACATAAATTTGTCGTATCACCCCGAGTAGGAACGTCCGCGTAATACGAACTGCCTACCCATATACAAACATAACAAATACATAACGCAAAAGTCGCCAGAGACCCAGCCATTCATTGCAGGGTTAACTTGATTTTAATGGGTTTGTGGCTTTGTTTACAACTCATAAACAAAGCCACAAACACACTGCTCAAATATTCTTGATTTGTAAGCAATATTTTGAAAATTTTAATATTTAAAACACACAATTTAGATACGTTGCTCCATTTTTCAATTTGTTATTTGCCTCGAGAGTTTTTCCTTTCATTTTTAAGTGCTTAAGTTTAAACAAAAATGGATTATAATTACTTAATTTCATCCAGAACAGCTTTTAAATCTCTCTTTGCTTCACTTTTCTTTCTTTCGTCTTCCTCTTTCTTAATGGCTTTGTCCACTTGATCGATGACATTCGTTTCGAATTCCGTCTGATCGTAGGCGAAAACTCCCAAAGCGGCTAATTCGTCTGTCTGTTTGTCTGCACTAACACAAGGAATGCAAGAAGTATCTATACTAAATCCCCCGATGTTAACTTTACACCGATCTTCTTCTTTCGTTTCAATTTCTTTTTCTTCATCCATATCGATTACGAGTTTATCGTGGCAAATTTTACTTAAAATTGAATAAATACGTAAATTAAACACTCCCGATTTAACCTAAAAAGCAACTTTCCACACCATTAAGCGGCCATGACACTTAATCTCGAACTAAAACACCAGTGCGAACTTAATCTCGAAGCGGTGCGACAGTTTAAAGGAAAATAGCGGACACGTGGTTTTTAGCGTCCAAAAATACGTGAGGTTGTCGAATGTATTTCGACATTTTTTAAAAATTTATAAATAATTTATTAACTTTTCCATAAATATACGAAATATAAATTTTATTATTTTGACAATTATTAGAATTCTTCATTTAGTAAAAATTCGTTTATTTCTGTGAGTTACATAAATTTTAACTTTAGTCACGTGTTATTTACGTTTTACGGTGCTCAAATTCATTTAATTATATTTTATNGTCAACCTTACCCGTTTTCACAGAATGCAAGAATTGGGTCCCCTTGTTTCCAGACTAATTAGAGAATTTTTAGATGGTTCTAAAAATATGTTCGATTTCCCGCAAAAATGAAAAAACTGCATCTGTGCCTGTAAATCTTGCACGTTGCTTTCTCTTAACAATTCCATTGTTACGTAACACTTCCATTGTTGATGGAAGTGTTAAGCCTTAATCCTGTCTTTCTCCCGGGGGGATTTCGAGAAATCCCTTCTTAGTGTGTGTTCTCGTGGTGTACCCTAACTGTACCAAATTTCAACTTTCAACTCCTAATCGTTTGGGCTCTGCGCTTATTATTATTATCAACCCGTCTCGATTATATATTAGATGAAGAAATTTAGTAAAATTTTCTTTAAATGATTGTCAAAATAAAAATTTCTTTCTGAAAATAGTAGTATATTAATAATAAACCAAGATTATGATGGTTTTGTGAAAAATAAACAACTTTTATAATGATGATGATAATTGGTCATTATTGAAAAGTTTTCATCCATATTTACAAATCTTAGTATTAAAAAATAGAACTGAGAGCTAGTTCAACAATGAAGCAAGTATTTTTAAAATAAAATAATTATTTTTACTCAATATTATATACTAAGGATGGCCAAACCTTGTCAGAGTAGGAGCCATATATTGCCCATCAGAAATATGCAAGAGCCACAACCTCTATGGGAATAGTATTATATATATATAGTTAAAATACTATAGTTAATAGTGGTATGTTAGGTATACTACCTAATATTACTTTGCACACAATGATTATGTATAAAGTAATATTACATAGCACAGTAATTTATTTAGAAATATGGGGCTTAAGGTTTTTTAAAAATGTTATGGTTTAAAAATAAAGTGATTTAACAGTTGAAACATTGGAATTGAAAGTGTATCAGAAAACATTTGTGCCTTATTTTGCTTGTATTGAAGGAAATCAACTGAGGAGGAAAATATTGTAAATTTCCAAAATTTATCTGGATAAAATATAAGTTGTTGATTGTTTGGTGATTTTGGCATCTGTGGATTTGCTAATTCCTAGAAAATTACTGTTTTGACTGTAGAATATATTGATATCAAAGATACAGAACAACTTAGTAACAACTTATTTCAAGCAAAGTATAGATTATACTCTTCTTTGCTTAAATGTAAACAAAAACTTTAAAAAAAATCAACAATAATTATACTTACAACTGTTTATTTTTTAACTTTTTGTCATTCTTTATTATTTCATTTTTTTCTAAAACATCAACACCATATTTTCGGTCAATTTCTGCCTCCACAAGTGACTGATTGGCTAGTTGATTAATCCTCCAAATGAAATGCTCTTCTGTTTCATTTTCCCTCTGTTTCATTTTATCTGGTATATATTTCACTGGATTTGTCATTCCTTCTTGTTCTTTTTCTTTATCACTTTTAACTATTAAAGAAATGTTTCAATTAGTAAATTAGCCTTTCCTTTACTAAAACTCTAGCTATAACTATTGCAATTCTTTTAATATAATTACTTCAGAACTTGCTTTATTGAAGTACAAACTAATTTCCACATGGCTCATTCTCACAGAAGTGGACAATTTGATGCCCTTACTTCATAAGTCAAAGTCCCAACTTTAAAGCAGAAAACATTGCATTGTGGTCATCATTCCCATCAGATATGTATGTATTTGCATGATCATTCCCTCACACATCCCTAATCTACCTGAACTTCATTTCATATATCATACATAAATGTATACATAGTAACAACTTATTTCAACCAAGTAATGCCTAAGTATGAATGAAGAAGTATAGTATGTTTGTAATTCTGAATAACTTCCTTTTCCAGCAGTGAATGGCATATGTGATACATTGTGAACAATAGACCCAAAGACGAATATCATGCCATGCCTGCAGAAGCCAGGGCAAAGAGAAGAGAATATGACGAGAGAAGAGATATGATTAAAAATGATCCAGTGCTAAAGAATACACTTCAAGAAAGAGTGATCGAAATATGAGATTCATTTTTACAGAATGCAACATTTTTAAAACTTGTTATTTTGTTTTAAAGACAAATTAGTCTTTAATTGTTAATATATTGAACTGTATATTCAATTTATATGTGCATTCACCTAATGTATCATACATTACTACAACAAATTTCTTGTGTCAGAACTAGGGAATTCGATCCCGGTCCTTATTTCTAATCCCGGGATTTCGGGATTATACTTAGTCAATCCCGGGATCCCGGGATTATTTTGGTATTGAGGGTTAATAAAAAATAAGAAAATCTTACAGAAATCAACAAATCAAAATTTAGACAAAAATCAACATATTTTACAGTATACACCTAGCTANTTTATATTTCCAGTGGTATTCTGATGATGATAAACAATTGTTTACTTAATTTATATAACACTTTTAACTTAAAATAGATATAATAATATTTTTTGCCAAGTAATGTCCAAATCTATCTGTCTAAGTTATAATTAAAGAATGATAAAAACAATAAAAAATAAAATAGAAATTAAGGTGTAACATTTGCATCTAAATTATGATCATATTTTATTTAATTTCAAAAATTTGTCAGTGCTATAAATGTATAAAACCAGAAAACCTCACTTAATATAACTTTAATATGCACAATAATCACTTAACACGACTGGATAAAATAATACTATTTCCCACTTTAAACAGGTAAGTAATTGGTTAACAATACTTTTTTTATGATAAATTTTTTTAGCCAAAATTTTTTTCTTCCAATCTCAAGAAAACAAAAACTTGGGGAGAGTTTAATTAATAACTCTGCAGCAAATGTCCCGGAAAATCTCGCGAACGAATGCCCCGGATCCGACAGACCCGGGCGAGTAAACTCGCGCTTATTTTTCTACAATGTTTTTTAGGTTACCAAAAAGTATCAATTATACTTACAGAAGGCGTTTTAATACACGTAAAAGCCTATTTTTTCAATAATCTCAACTTTTTTCTAAACTATATCAAAAAAGTCATTGTATTGTAATACAGAAGTATGTTCACTGCAAGCAAAATTTAAGTGATTCAAAAAGAAATCAAAAGCACATACAATAAAAACGTAATTGTCCACTAGACACACGGCATTAAAACCTACAAATTACATAAACAAACAACTGAAAAAAAAAAAATGAACACGTATACAAAGCACAAAACAAGACTTTCGCGAACGAACGGCCCGGGTCCATCAGACCCAAACCGTCCGCCAGCCACGGCAGAGTAAAATTATTCAATTTGAATTTTACATAAATTTGTCGTATCACCCCGAGTAGGAACGTCCACGTAATACGAACTGCCTACCCATATACAAACATAACAAATACATAACGCAAAAGTCGCCAGAGACCCAGCCATTCATTGCAGGGTTAACTTGATTTTAATGGGTTTGTGGCTTTGTTTACAACTCATAAACAAAGCCACAAACACACTGCTCAAATATTCTTGATTTGTAAGCAATATTTTGAAAATTTTAATATTTAAAACACACAATTTAGATACGTTGCTCCATTTTTCAATTTGTTATTTGCCTCGAGAGTTTTTCCTTTCATTTTTAAGTGCTTAAGTTTAAACAAAAATGGATTATAATTACTTAATTTCATCCAGAACAGCTTTTAAATCTCTCTTTGCTTCACTTTTCTTTCTTTCGTCTTCCTCTTTCTTAATGGCTTTGTCCACTTGATCGATGACATTCGTTTCGAATTCCGTCTGATCGTAGGCGAAAACTCCCAAAGCGGCTAATTCGTCTGTCTGTTTGTCTGCACTAACACAAGGAATGCAAGAAGTATCTATACTAAATCCCCCGATCTTAACTTTACACCGATCTTCTTCTTTCGTTTCAATTTCTTTTTCTTCATCCATATCGATTACGAGTTTATCGTGGCAAATTTTACTTAAAATTGAATAAATACGTAAATTAAACACTCCCGATTTAACCTAAAAAGCAACTTTCCACACCATTAAGCGGCCATGACACTTAATCTCGAACTAAAACACCAGTGCGAACTTAATCTCGAAGCGGTGCGACAGTTTAAAGGAAAATAGCGGACACGTGGTTTTTAGCGTCCAAAAATACGTGAGGTTGTCGAATGTATTTCGACATTTTTTAAAAATTTATAAATAATTTATTAACTTTTCCATAAATATACGAAATATAAATTTTATTATTTTGACAATTATTAGAATTCTTCATTTAGTAAAAATTCGTTTATTTCTGTGAGTTACATAAATTTTAACTTTAGTCACGTGTTATTTACGTTTTACGGTGCTCAAATTCATTTAATTATATTTTATCATTTTGAAGTTACTTCGTGTAACTCGATACCATTTTTTTCCATTTTTGGGCCTTTCCACCCTGTTGGCAGTAAGAGGACCTTTTTTCTTCAGTTTATCTGGGTCGTTTAAATCATTCTTGTGTATTCGCAACGGTAAAGATGAATGGCAATAGGAAAAGCAAAGCTTTTTGTTGCGTTTCAAATTGCAATTTCAAAGCCGTACCGGAGCCCGATATAAGTTTTCGTCTATTCCCACGTAAAAAACAGAATTATTTGAAAATTAGAATTTGGAGAAACTCGTAAGTGTGACCGACGGGAAGACTGTTAGCGATTGGCAAAAAAGTTTTCCGATTGTCTGCCTTTACGTCGACGAGTTATGCCGTCAATTTTAAAGGATTTTTCCTTACGGTTTAAAATGCCACCAATTTTGTGTGGGACACGGGACCAGATTTAAGCATTCCTTTACCAATCCTTCACAATTTTACAAGTCAATCATAAAAACAAAAGAATTAACATAAACATATTAATTAAACACTACACAAAATAAAAAGGAAAGTATATTTTGTTGGTCTGTAAAAACTTTTATTACAAAATTTGACTTCAATTTTCTTTTTTGTAGAAATTTTTGAAGTCCCTTGGAACTCGAGGCCCTAAGCAACAGCTTACCTATCTTGTAAATCCAGCCTTGATGGGACACATGTCAAAGCTGATGTTTTTCGACACAAAGAGCACAAATTTGTATAGAATGAAGTCGCTTATTAGTTTTGATAATACCACATAAAATGGCGTGCCCTACTAGCAATAATTGTTCTCCTATAAAATTTCTTGATAAACAGCTACAAGCAACATATATCATTATATTGGACAGTAATATATGATTAATCTTACATTTGCTATAAGCGACCTGGATAAAATAGCCATTTTGTAGAAATGCAGTGTCCTCTATAATCCCAGAAATTTTTCATGAATAGTCTGTACTGGTATGTCAAGTCATATCCCTAACTACCCAGCTGTCTTATTGTGGGCCTAGTTGAATCCTGAATAAGATAGCTGGGTAGTGAGGGATATGACCTGATGTATCCAATATAGACTATTGATGAAAAATTTCTGACATTACTCACCCAAATATAATCCCAGGTTCCCCAAAACAGTAGGCTGATTTCCTTTGATTGCCTTGGCCATCTGATAAAAAGTGGGAACCATCTGCAATAAATTATTGCAGCTGCTTGCCACTTTTTATTGAATATTATTTTCTGCTAATTGGCATTAATTCATACTGTTTAATATCATTTACCATTGGAAAATATTTCAAATTTATATGTACTACTGTTGTTTATTTATAAAAGAAACCTACTACAGTAGAGCCTCGAAAACTCGGCCTAATGTGGACCGAAGGATGGCCGAATTTGTGAAAATGCCGGATTATCAGGAATGGGGTTTAAAAAAATAAGTATGAGTGTTTCCTCAGAAAATACTGTACTGTACTTGTATGTATTGTTTACTTGAGAATACGACAGAGAATAAACTGCTCAAATACCCTTAAACAAAGGAAAAGTACTGTACGTCCTTTATGAAGGCATAGAGCCTTTACTACATGAAAATGAAAATTAATGAATACACTGTGTACAGTAATTTACCTGATAAGACAGACCTCAGAATAATACTTTATGAGAGCTTTTATACTTTTATAAAGCTGTCTATAATGAAAATGAACTAAGGATTTTTTTGCCCTGCCAGAGTGTGGCTGAGTTATCCGGAGTGCCGGGTTATTGAGTGCTGAGTTTTCGAGGCTCTACTGTACTATCAAAACTGAAACTAAATTAGATTGAACAACACCTTAAATACTTCTTCCAGCAACATTCTCCTTTACTCAAACAAATGTTTTTGACCCCTTTCATAGACCTGCATCAGATTTTAACATTAAAAATTAGATGGTTTGAACTTACAGTTCTAAAAATGCTGTAAGAAAAACTTTAAAAACATTGTAAAAATGTTAATTATAACTATTCTTCATTTATTTTAATATTTTAAAGAGAATTTCTAATAGCATATTATTTGAACAGCTGGATAGCTAAGGTATCAGCCTACTGCTTTGCCACATCTGGGTCAGATCCAAGCCAAGAAACCTCAGGAATTTTTCATGGCCAGTCTGTCTAGGATATATCTGGCCCTGTCTGCTACCACCCAGCTGTCTGCATTAGGATCTGGCTAAATCCATGCTGGGTATGGGAAAAAAGGTCCATTTCATAACCATAGGAGGGAATGAGTTAAAAATGAAAAGTTATTTTATTAATTATATTTTTATGTGTAAATTTAATAATATATTTTGCATGTAAAGCATGTGATAATGTCTTAAACTTAAGAGTTATTCTTAAAATTGTTTAAAATCTTAAAAATGCATTGCATATAAAAACTGTGAGAGAGTACATAGGAAAAACAAATATTAAAATTTCTTTTGTTGATTATAAAAAACATGTATCTATGGAATTACCATTTAATATTATACATTTGACTTTCCCAAAATATTTCTTATTATTACTTTTTTTTACAGATAGAATGTATTTGTGTGTTTCTTGCATTTTTCAATCATTGAGGACTAAGTCATTTTATGGAATCACAAATAAATTATATACAAGTTCACTTGTGACGAAATGTAAAATATCTAGATATATATATTGCAAAACAGATCTTCCTGTTGTGACTTGGAAAAATAGTATCAGAAAGTTTAACACTTCAAAACAGTACCTTGTATCTTATACCGATAATCAAAAATTTAAAAATAGAACTACAAGACTATATATAACTGGATTTGTTTTACTCTTTGGAGGTTTAAGTTATGCAGCAGTTCCACTATACAGAATTTATTGTCAGGTAAGTTATTAATTAATCTATATAAATAAAAATGTAAATGTTTGTTTGTTCAAAATCTTAATCTCCAAAAGTTCTTAACTGATTGCTTTGAAATTTTGACACACCATTATATTCGAATACGCACGTGTTTTTATATTGTATAGATGTCAAAACTCCCCCCCGCAGGGGAGAGGGACAAAATTAAGGCTTACCGTGAAGAACTGGTCTTCTATTCTACTATTTTAGATGCATTTTTGATTGCGTTTTAATAGGGTACGTCAAGAGAATGTACACTAAGAAGGGATTTTTCGAAATTCCCTCCCGTGGGGAGTGTTATACATTTATAATAGATACATTTTGAGCCATAGCAACATGTGGCCGAGTACAGCTAGTATTTAATATAAAAATATGTAAAATTAGAGCTCTGAATAAAGTGATTGTGACATCAGAGCTGTAGACCATTGGTTTCTTTGACTTTCTTTACTCCTTTGGGATAGAAGTAAAAAAGTCAAAGAAATTCTTGGTTTGCATGTGACCCTTTGTGAGATATAAGCTCTCAAAATCAGTCTATGTGGAATTTTGAAAACCCTCAAAAATAAGATAAAAGTGTAAATGAAAAAATCTGAAACTGTTTCTCAAAACAGTACTAAAAATCAACTGTTTTCCATTTTACTAGAAACAGCTAAATAGCACAAAAGCCATTGTACCAACTACTTCCAGGGTGCACTCCGAGTCATGCTACTATGAACTCTGTTAAGCCTATCAAGTGTTTATAAGCTGATTTCAGGGAGCTGTCTTACAAAGGGTCAAGTACAGACCATTGGTTCCTTTGACTTTTTTACTCCTATAGACATGGTCTATAGCTCTGATAAGGTCTCAACTACCTCATTCAGAGCTGCAATTTTGCCAAAAGAATTATTATATAAATTTTTCAATATTATTTTGTTTTTTAATTTTTGTAAAATTACTTTTTCAGGCTACAGGTAAAGGTGGACAAGCAGTAATTGCTGATGATGATAAGATAGCAAACATGCCTAGAATTATTGATCGTACTATTACAGTTCATTTCAATGCAGATACAATTTCTAGTCTTCAGTGGAATTTTAAGCCTCAACAAAATGAAATTAAGGTATTTAAAAAATTTTACAATAAATCTATTTAAACCAGAACAAGTTTAAAATAACTGGTACAGAAATGATGCATAAGTCTTAGTAATTTATGTTATCAAAATTTGTCAAATATAATATAATGTCATTTTATTTCAATAAATTCTAGAGAATAGAGAGGTTGCGGCCGACGTTTTCAACGCGAATATGTGTACATCAGACGTTCAGCTCTGCCTTCCTGTAAGCATAGACGTTTGACAATGATGTTTGGAACGTCAGTGGAATCATGCTTGATGTTCCAAACACCATTGTCAAATGTCTAGGCTTACAGGAAGGAAGCACTGAATGTCCAACTTACACGTTTTCACGTTGAAAACGTTGGCCGCAACCTCTATTATCTAAAGATTAAAAATTGTTGTTATTTTTTTTTATTTCTTCTAAATAAAGGTACAAGAAAATTTCTATATTGCTACTTGATTATAAAAAATTAGAATTGGATCTTTCAAAATACAAACTTCAATATATCACCCTCTTGTCATTGAGAGGGGAGGAGCTGGAGATTTTTCCTGGGTCTGAAGAAAATTTACAGACCAATGGTTCCTATCCCTGAAAAATTAACATTAGTTTTACTAACAGAAAATGAAATATTTAAAACTGTTTTATTATTAATAAAGAAACATTCTATGTATCAAATATGCTATCTCATTCTATGTATTTTATTTTTTTCAAATAAACAATAGCTAAAGGAACCCACTGAGCAGTGAAAGGAGTCCACTCCATCCCTGGGTCCCACACAAGTTTTCAATGGTCCTGCCTTCTATTTAGCACCAAACAAATACTTGTGAACAGATGAATGCTTGAGAATGCTTTAGCCTCTGTGAATTACTAAATGTATGATTCTGTATTGCAAAGGGCATTATTATCACCAAATTACGTGACTTTCAAATTCTCGAACATCCGTCACACCAGAGATAACATTCCACTTCTTGGGAATTGATACATTTTTCCTCTCTGGAGGCTTTATAAATTTTCAGAATTGCTTTTATGTGTTTATCATTAAAGACTTTTTAAATTAATTTAGCTTTCTCCAGATTTTCCACCAGCCCATGTTGACCTGAGACATTTTTATAAATTAAGTCAAAAATGTTCAGATAACCAATCTTTTGTTGGAAAAATGTTCTGGTTGTTACAGTTTATTGGTTAGTAAGCACTTCTAGAGTCATAAATTAACATAGATATATTCCACAATATTTTAACATCAATTTTTATTGCCAATGTGACAAGAGACTCATTAAGTCTCTATTTTGACTAAAGAAAAATAATGTTTTTTAATTCTTTTATCTAATGTCTTCTATACTATAAATATGGCTATATAATTTAAATTATATTTTTAGTTCTATTTTCAATATGTTGACTGTTTGGTCCTTATTAGCACAGTAACAGTTAGTCATTCATGGCAATGTTCTTTGGATCTGCTTTTTTTGGTTGCCTTTTATACCCTTTGTATGAAATATTTTCAGTGGTGTTCTGTCAAGAAAAATTTGCACATACACTGTACTTTTAATCATTTTCATACTACCATGCAACCTGCAAATTTTGAATCCAATATAAATTTTTTCAGTGTTGCAATTTTAATTGTTAATGATGTATTTGAATTACTTTATTGTCAATCTAACAAACTAAAAATATACAGATTAGATTTTTATAATTTTTTTTCTTTCTAATCCTTTCACAGTACTTCAAAAATGATTATTTACCTAAGATAATTACTTCCAACAATTTAACACCTCGTTTAATAATAACGATCCACGAAAAAACCTTTTTTACGAGGGTTATTTTCACTATTACGTTCCACTAGTACTTTCGACCTCCACCGAGGTCTGCTTCAGGTGGTGAGTGTCGACCCGACCGTTGTAACGATGTTGCCAACGATGTAAATAAATAAACGTGCGCGTCGGGTTTCACCCCTCCGACCGCCATTGCTCGAACTCCTCGAATAAATACTTCCACGCCTGTGCAAGAGTTTCCCCGTCCTTGTAGTTGATGCAGTTGCCCCCCCCTGCTAGCTTTGTGAATCTCCCAGGCCTCCAGGTGACGGATGTGATCCGCGCGGAACACGTGTCTGATAACTTTGGTGTTCCGGAAGTCCGCCCTTATTCCCGCTGTTCATCCCCGCGTGCTCTTCTGACCCCTTTGTTTACAAAATGGCGGCTTTCCGAGCCCTTACCAAACGGGCTTTCACGCACCACACACATGTGCGCGACGCAAGGTCGGAGATCCGACGCATAGAAAAAATTGCCGTGGAACATGGTTATAACAAAGCCTTGGTCCGCGGCACAGGCATGGAAGTATTTATTCGAGGAGTTCGAGCAATGGCGGTTGGAGGGGTGAAACCCGACGCGCACGTTTATTTATTTACATCGTTGGCAACATCGTTACAACGGTCGGGTCGACAGTCACCACCTGAAGCAGACCTCGGTGGAGGTCGAAAGTACTCGTGGAACTTAATAGTGAAAATAACCCTCGTAAAAAAGGTTTTTTCGTGGATCGTGATTATTTATCTGTTACAATGTATAACTGCATTTGACAATATTTTGATAGTATGTTTGAATTTCCAAATTTTAAATATTTTTTGGTAAGTACTGTTCTATTGTGTTTGAGTCACAGTGGCAAGCCTCTGCTTGGATAAGCTATGTGTGTGTGCCAATAAATCTGTTCACATTGTGTTGTGTTATTGTCACAGTTGTAGGAAAACAGAGGGAAATGGTAAAGTGTATTCTCCAGGTAAATCCCAGATATTTATTACTCTGCACCTACTAATTACATATAATATACAAAATACAAAACAGACATACACGGTTGTGACGACTGAGGCATGACCCTGCTCATACCCAGGACTGGTACGAGAGTATCTGAAACCCCTAGGCAAAAATTTAGGCATCCTATACTTATATATATATATTATATATACTACAATGTTATAATATACAATTATACAAGTATATTAAAACAAGAAATAACTACTGTCTATTGGCATTAAACAGTTTTTATTATCAACACAAGCACCTTCGACACTTTATCAATATCATCTTCAAGTGAAGAACGTAACTTTGGAACATTAAAATTTTAAAAAAAGGGAACATTAAATATTTGAAAATGAAATATGTATTTTTGAATGCAACATTAAATATTCTGAAAGAAATACAAATTTTCAAAGTTAAATTTAAATCAATATAGGCACAAGAATGACATACACATGAGATAAATTAGGATGAAATAACAATAAAATTAGATAAAATGATAAGATAAACATTTACATGTCGTTAGTAAATTTAGAATTATGGTAAATAGGTAATACCATGGCTACATAAATGTTAAATGTCCAAATTCCTTTTTGAATAAGTTAAAAGGTAATAGGGTAGTTGCTCCAGTGAATGACCATATTGTCAGAAATTTGTTTAAAAAAGAAAAACTAATCAGAAGTGCTGAATTACTGAAAATCAGCTACATTTTAAAATATTCTCTTTCACTGGTCATTCAGAAATGCATGATATCGTTTGAAATATGGCAGGTTTCTTGAGATGTGTGTGTAAGGTGTAATCTTGCTTGCATTGTAATAAGGTAAGAATTGTGGCAAGGATTCATATAGCAGTATTTTAAAATAATTATTGATTTTCCAAAGCATTGAGTAAAGAAATAGTTTTGTAGATTAGTATGGTTAGAGTATCAAAATTAATTCTAACCTTTAAAGGTGTGTAGATAGGGGGTAGTCACTTACTGGATCTGAAAAGTGATTCTTCACCAGTGAAGGAACACTTCGGTCATTTAATGGTGATAAAGTAATATGGGTTATTTTCATTTCTAAGCACAAAATTCAAAATCTGTGAATGCTGCTTCATACTAATGAAGCAGCATTCACAGATTTTGAATGAATGAATGACCAAAAAACCTACTTGTACTGTACCAGTAAATGACCATGGTTTAAAGTTATGTGGTCATTCATTGCTGAAAATTAAAATGGTTTGAGATGAGTAATTAAAGACATTTGAATTTATTTTTATTCAGATAAATTCAAAATGGCAGATGAAATAAATAAAAAGAAAAAAGCCTATGGATGTTTTCAATATAGTGAAGAAGAAGAATTATATGCATATGTAGAAGCAGTAGATGAAAATAAAATGAGTGATAATAAGACTAGCAAAAAATGTAACATTCCAAAAGAAATTTTAATAAATAAATTACATTGAAAAGTACCAATGGAACAAAAATAGGCAACATTAACTAAAGCAGAGGAAGAGACAGGTTGGAAAAATGGATTATTGGGAAAGCCAAATTGGGTTAACCCATGCATCCTGATGAAGTAAAAGATGCAGTTATGAAAGATATGAAACAAAAGAACCCATTTAATGATGATTGCCCTGGAAAAAAATGGCTAAAGCTTTTTCTAAAAAACATCCTAATATAGCAGCAAAGAATACAGAAGTGATATCCAAAGCTCGAGCAGCAGCTTGAAAAGAGATGATAAGGAATTGGTTTTGAGAATTAAATAATTATTTGAGAGAAGACCATGCAAGTGATATTCTGCAAAATCCTTCCCATATTTTCAATACAGATGAAACAGGGATGTTGTTTTGTTCAAAAACTGGCAAATTTCTAGACCTAAAGCATATAAGAACTTTTATAACGTTGCATCAGGACAAGAAAAACAGTGTATCACAGTATTGTGTAATTATTCTGCAAGTGGCCAGTCAGTAGATCTTATAATAGTGTTCCCATACAAGAGAATTCCAAAGCATATTGTAGATTCAGTTCCAGATGGCTTTGCTGTAGGCAGAAAAAGTGATTCAGGATGGATGATAAGTGCCACATTTTATGAATATGTTTCAAATGACTTTTACCCCTGCCTTCTGGATAAGAATATTCAGTTTCCTGTATTCTTCCTTCTTGATGGACATAAATCCCCTATAAATGAAAAACTATGATTTTTGTGTTGAGAAAAGAAGTCTCCGTTTTTTTGTTCGTTGCCAAATACAACTGATATTATCCAACGTGATTTTGCAATTTTTTGACCACTTAAATGTCAGAGAAGAAGTGTCAAAAAACATAAACAACAATAATCAAAATCAGTTTACAAAACTAACTTTGCAGCTTTATTCTTTGAATCTTACAAGAAAGCTATGAAATTGGAAACAATTCCATATGGATTTGAAACATGTGGTTTGTTTCCTTTTGATCCAAATAAGGTGGAATAATCAAATTGTATTTCTGCTAGACATAAAGAATTGTTTTCCGAAAATGAACCTGATTTATCAATTAATTATGGAGAACTAGATAAATGCGCACTGCAACTGATAGAAAATGAGATTCCACTTAATTTGTTATCAGATTTCAAGGAAGCCATTGCATCTGATAACAATCAGATAAATTTAGAAAATTATTATTGCAATATTGCATATCTATGAAATACATTTTTCTACTTATCAAACTGATAATATATGTACAATGTTATAGAAATTTTTGAAATTTAAAATTTCAAAAATTAAAATTTTTATTCCAATTTCTTAATCTGAAATTACATGACTGAATTACATAGAATTGCCAACACATATATAGTATACAATGGTATAAAATTGCATATAGTATCCTAAAACTCTGGTTATTCATTATTACTCACTTGTGGTCATTCACTAGCTCTCAGCTAGTCAATTACAATCATTCATTGGTGATTTTTAAATTTTAAAAACATTATGTCATTAATTTAATAAATATTACAGAAAATTAAAAAGTCACTCTTTGAATAAGTAGTTCTTGGTAACCAGCAATGACCATTACTTATGTTAAATGTTCGTTTCTTAAGTGATTATATAGAAATCTCTTTATCAAAGTGCTTAATTGGTCATTCACTGGTGCAACTACTCTATTTTAAAAAAGGTAAAAGTTAAAAAACTAAAATCTTTAAATAAACCACCACAAGAAAATAGCCTTCTCAGTCTTCACCGATTTTTAAGGAGACTTAATTAAAAACTATAAACTACAACTTTCTTCTAAAAAGGAACAAACTTTATTTAATATTAGCTCCATGATGTAATATGGAGATAATATTAATTGCTGGATGCTTAGATATATCAAACACAAAATACCAAAAAAATCCAGCAACATCCATTGAAGAAAACTGTTTTTAATTATTTATAGTGTCATTCTCAGATCATCCTATTCTTTTATTCTAACCTGAGGATGACTACTAAAAATAATTGAAAATGTTGATTTTCTTCAATGAATGTTGCTGGATTTTTTGGTACTTTGTTTGTTGTATTAAACTTTATTTTGTTTCCACAGCAATAGAATTCTATACTTATTTCCTTCCTAATGATGAGCCAAAGCAGATCAAAAGTACTAGAAAACATTTTAATGATATAATTATTTCATTAAGGCATTTTTTATCTTATTTTGATTTGTGAATTCATATCTGTCTAGTCCAAATCCTAACTTTCTCATTTAACATAAAAAATTTACTGTATTGTATGCTTATCACAAATAGTATAATTATTGCTATTTGTAAAAAAAACTGTCCTTCTTACATCAAATTTAATTTAGAGAATTTTATTTTAATGAATTTTTCCTAATTTAAATATAATTGTTTATATTTTAGTTAGTACCTGGAGAAACTGCTTTGGCATTTTATACAGCGAGAAATCCAACAAATGCTCCTGTAACTGGTATTGCAACTTATAATGTACTTCCATTTGAAGCTGGTCAATATTTCAATAAAATACAGGTTTGAAAGATATTTATTTTAATTTTTAGATGGAATTACAAATTAAATTTACAAAACTATATTAAAGTTTCCTAATGGTTAAAGTTGTTTTCTGTAGTGTTTTTGTTTTGAAGAACAAAGATTGAATCCAGATGAAGAGGTATTTTTTGTGTATTTGCTTATCTTTCAATATAGTTTAGAAAAATTAAAACTGTTTATATTCACTAGGTGGACATGCCTGTCTTCTTTTACATTGATCCAGGATTTTCTGAAGATCCTAGTCTAGAAGATGTAGACGAATTAACTCTATCATATACGTTTTTTGAAGCAAAACCAGGTTTAAATTTACCAGTACCTACCTTCAAATAAATTAAAATGTAAACACTTTAAATTATCTGAATTATATTTATATACATTTCATCAAATATCAATATGTGTATAATTCTAGATTGTACTTTTATTCTTTAGGATAATTTTGAAAAAATATCTTTAAATGATATTAAAACTGGAATGAAATAAAATTATACAGAAAATTTTGAATAAAAGTTATTGAATTTATGTAAAATATAGAATATATATAATAAATTGTAATTTTTTTAAGTTTAAAAAGGCCTAATGGTTTCTGATCAATCAACTTTGATATACTGCATGTTGAATAATATCACAGCTATGGCCTGAGCAGTTAAGACAGCAGCCTACTGATCTGAGACCCGGGATTGAATCTGGACTGGTCAAAAAGCCCCAGAAATTTTTAAGAGTGATCCATCTGCATATGTTGGGCCCCATCCCTAATCATCCAACTGTCTCTTATTGTGGAGGACATGGGGAGTGACAGTTTGTCCACATCCGCGATGGGGTTGCCATCATCCTCCGGAAGTCGGAATGGGGAGGAATCGGAGGAGAGAACTGCTGAAGTCGAGGGACCGTGGTGTCTGTGCTTTTGTTACTGTGGTTCCCTTGACCTAGGTGGTGATCCTCTTCGATTTTCCCCAACTCGTCCTTCTGCAATTTGTAGTCTTGACAACAGAACCAATTAAATATTTATGATTCTCAATCTTCTTAAATCACTGATATTTTTAGTTTAATTTTGAAATATAAAAGACAAGAAAAGATTAGAAGCAAATGTTTAGATAATTTACATATAAAAATACACTTGACATCACACATTCTATTAATAATGACACTAAAATTTGCATTTTGGTTTATTTACAAACATTAATTGATCTTTGTTTGGATAACCCATAAGAAAAGTAAAAACAACTTAATATCTTATGAAAATTCGTTTTGAAAAATACCATATTTGCTCGCATTTAAGATGAGGTTTTTATTCATTTTTCACTGCTTCAAAAACCCTAGTTGTCCTATACGTGCAAACGAAGGATTCTTTGCGTTTTTGCAATAATTTCTGTAAACCATGTATGCTTGATGCTGTCATTATAGGTTTACAGTCTATTTATCACAAATTGGCACCTACTGTAAACAAATTAAGACACACACCCCTTTGTTTATTGGTTTAATCCTACATTCATCAATTAAAAACCGCATTGCATCTCATTCATTGGCAGAAAATAGTTTCTCGTTATTTATAAAAACATTAGTGAAATGCAGGTCACTTAGCAATAATTATAAATGTAGTTATTTTATATTAGTTAAATTGTTATTTTTAATGAATATTTAGCACATTCTGAATAATTAAAAATAAACTTTTTCCAATCACCTATAATGTTTTGGTTTTGTTTTCAATTCATCATGTATTAAGGCAAACATGGTTGTTTGCCTTAATACATGCATTTGATATTTTGTAATTAAACGAAATAGAATTGTATTAATAAATCTAATTTTTTAAATTTTGATCTTTAAAGTCACACCTCGTCCTATACGCGAGATTTTCCTATACCCAAGTAAATATGATAATTTATTTAAAAAACAATTATTAGTAAACTTTCTGTAATGCATCATAAAATAATTTCAAGTCATTTAAAAACAGAAATTTTTTAAAGGCAAATTAGTGAATGAGCTGTATCAGTTGTTTAGAAAGAGTAAAAGTTGTGAAAGAAATCTAAAGAGAAGGGAAGCTAAGAGTTTAGTAGAATACTTTTTTAGTCTTTTTTCATTTTGGACTTCACCTTGTGGGTGTTTTCTCCATAACCATCAAGGATCTGGTCAGATACACAATGGGTAGAGATTGGGGCTTGACATATCCAGAAGAGAGTGCCCATGAAAGGTGAGGCAGGTGAAGTGGTTTTTCACCTACCTGGATTCAATCCCAGGTCCCTCAGAGTGGTAGACTGATGCCTTTAACTCTTTGCCAACCAGCTGGTTTTTGTAGTCTTATTATATTTAAAATTTGCAGAAGCAATTATATATACATATATTCTGGCCTACATCTTAATTTATAGTTTGGAGTATATGAAATTTGCACTGCAAACTTTAATATTATCTTACATCAAATTAAGTATGATCCATTACAAATGCAATTGTTGATTTTGACAAATTCTTATTTATTGAAAAAATGTACACTTTCCAAGTAAGATACGTTTTTAACACACCACTCAAAAATTCTTTTAAGATTCAAATAAAATTTTAATTACCATAGAGTTTTATCCATTTCTATTTTATGTACAGTACATTACAAAATATTTCAGATCTTTCTAACAAACTTAAGTCAAAGAAATAAAATTTATTTCTTGGGAATGCCATTTTATAGATGAATTTGTCACACATTATGGTTATTAAATTTAAAAAATTTATTCTTCTTATACAAATAACTTATATTCATTTAAAATCAATGAACAGAAACATTAACTTTGTAATTACGTAAACTGGGTTTGCTTTTTAATTTAGTAATTTGTTTCAAACATGTCAGTTTTGGGGGTTCTTTTACAACTTCTCCAAATTTTATTTCATCTGAAAAGAAGAACTAAAAATCAGTTAAACATGAAAAACTTCATATAAAAATTGCTAATGTATGTATTACCTTTAAATTCTTCAAAGTCATCTTTTTTGTTTTCAATTTTCATTAGTTTTTTCTCTTTTTTCTTCTGTTGTGCTAATTTTCTTTTCCTAACAAAAAATAATTTAACTTAAAATTTCCATTCTATCTAATTAACAATAACTGCTATGGAAAAAAATCCAGCAACAAGTTGCATAACTTTCAAGTTTTTAATTTAATATACTGTAATATATACTTAGATAAATGAAAGTCAAGATCATATATGGAAAGCTTAAGGGCAGGAGGTCCCTATTAACTACATACAAATTTCTGATGCAAACTGTAAGTCATGATATTTCAGTTCAAATATTTTCCCGAAAGGAATATTGCTCTATTGCTAACAGAAAAGTATGATGTACAGGGGCAAAACACTACAGTACTAATTTGAGGTGGTGAGCATATATTTTAAATTAAATAAATAAAAATATGATTAAATGTTGCAGCCCCCAGATTGTGATGATGTCACAATAAATAATTTCTTTTTATATTTGTAAAATCTAGTAAAGATATGACCTATATCAAGTGTATAAAGAACACAAATGGCAAAGTGCTAACTAAAAATGAAGAAATTAAGGCCCGGTGGAAAACATACTTTAAAGACCTTATGAATGTGGAGAATGACAGACAAACTAAAACTGAAAATGTTGAGCCAAATATAGGCCTAGTAGGCATAATAGAGAAATAGGAAATAAAGCTGCCATTGAATAAAATGAAAAATGGGAAATCAGTGGGCCAGATCAGATAGCAATAGAGGTATGGAAAGTCCTAGGAGAGGAGGGAAGAGACTGGTTAACAGAGCTGTTAACAAAGTACTGTTAAAAGGAACTATACCCAATGAATGGAGAAGAAGCTATTTAGTACCCATCTTTAAAGAAAAAGGGGATGTGCAGGAATGTAATAATTATAGGGGGATAAAACTATTGGCTCACACAATGAAACTTTTTGAAAAGGTAATTGAACGAAGGATTAGAGAGGAAACTAGTGTCACTGAAGGCCAGTTTGGATTTATGCCTGGGAGGAGTACTACAGATGCCATATTCGTGGTGAGACAGGTGATGGAGAAGTACCGATCTGTGAGGAGAAACCTGCATATGATGTTCATAGACTTGGAAAAAGTGCATGACAGAGTCCCGAGAGAAGTCCTTTGGTGGTGCCTTAGGAAGAAAGGTGTGCCGCTTCAATACATAGTGACAATTGAAGATATGTACTATAGGGCCAGCACGCAAGTTAGAACTGCAGCCAGATTGATGGACATGTTCGAAGTAAGAGTGGGCTTACATCAGGGGTCAGCACTCAGCCCATACCTCTTCCTATTAGTTATGGATGTGATAACATCTGCTGTACAAGAGGACGTACCCTGGTGTGTCCTGTTTGCAGATGACATAGTCCTCATTGATGAGGGCAGGAAAGAATTACAGAGACGGCTAAACAAATGGCAACACGTGCTGGAAAATGAGGGACTAAAAATCAGCCAAACAAGACGGAGTATATGTTCTGTAATTTTGACGGTCTCCCTGGTACTGGTTCGTTAAAACTAAATGGAATACCATTGCCAGAAAGTACTGAATTCCAATATCTGGGATCTCTGCTCCAGAAAGATGGCAACATTGATAGGGAGGTTACTAGGAGGATCAATGCAGGATGGTTAAAGTGGAAACAGGTGACAGGAATAACTTGTGACAAACGCATGCCATTTAAAATAAGAGGGCTAATATATAAAACTGTCATCAGACCCGTGCTTATGTATGGGTGCGAGTGCTGGCCGATGACAGCCACCAAAGAGAAGCAATTGCATGTGGCAGAGATGCGAATGCTGAGGTGGATGTGCG